TTTTAGCAAGCAAAAACCAGAGCAGTGGGTTGGGGAGGCCGACGAGAAGTGCAGAAAAATTTAGGGGAATCTACCAAAAATTGGGAGGAACCAAGAGGAATTAGAGTAAACACAAGCCAATTCAAGGAAGAACAAAGTATTTAATGGCTGTTTCTTACCAGAATTTTGAAGAACTCACACCCAAACAATGAAGAGTAGCCGACGGAAAAGAACAGAGCAGAGCATATCCAAAAATTCTGCAGAGGGGGCGAAGATTTCCAAGCCTAAATCTGGTTCTTGAACAAGAAAAGAAAGGCAAAAACCCAGCTCTCTTATCGGTTTTCCAAGTAAGGTGTGCAGTCGGGCTTGGGTTCTTGTTGTTCGGTGCAGGGAGAAGGAAAAGAAGAGCAGATGAGCGGGTGAGGAAGAAGAAAGAAGGAAAAAAAATCAACCCATCCTTATCCAATTTCTTTTCTCTTTTAAGTCCCTCAAATTTGAGAATTTTCACTATTAGGCCCCAAACAATATTTTTCTCACAATAAGTCCCTAACCTAAATGATAAAATTCCCAAAAATTTGGGATATTACAGAATCGATATTTGAGGAGCCAAGAGGAGATGCAAAAGAGTTCTTTAATCTTTTGTGAGCAACTGACACACCTCTTTTTGATGGGTGTGATGATGGTGTCACTGTCTTAAAGTGGGTGTGAGAGCTCATGAGTGCAAAAACACTTGTTAACATGAGTGTTACTAATTGGGACTATGTGCTAAAGCGTAGTCTAATGGCCTTAAAAAAGAGTTGATCAGGAGAAATTGCCAACAGATTATTATAGTGCCAAGAAGATGTTGAGGCGTCTAGGTCTCAAGTATAAAAAGTATGATGTTTGTGTGAACAATTGCATTTTGTATTATGGAGAATATGAAAGCCAGTGTTATTTACAGTGCCCAGTATGTGAAGAGCCACGATTTAAGCAGCGTGATGTGCATTCTGCTAAGCCTATACCAAGAAAGTCTTTGTGGTATCTTCTAATTATTCCTAGACTTTAGAGATTGTATATGTCTAGGAAAATTGCCGAGCATATGACCTGGCATTTAAATTGTTATAATGAAAATGAAAAAAATTTTCATCCTACATGTGGAGAGGCGTGGAAGCATTTTGATAGCACTCACCCTAAGTTTGCTAATGAATCGAGGAATGTTAGGTTAGGTCTATGCACTGATGGGTTCACTCCTTTTGGATATTCTGCATCTCCATGCTCTTGTTGACCAGTATTTGTGTCAGTTTATAACTTGCCTCCAACAATGTGCATGAAGCAAGAATATGTATTCCTTTCATTGATTATCCAAGGTCCCTAATGTCTTGGAAAGAATATTGATATAATGCTTCAACCACTAATCAATAATTTAAAGTAGCTTTGGTATTTTGGAGTCCAAACTTATGACAGCTTTAGGCGTCAATACTTTCTGATGAGGGCTGCACTTATGTGGACCATTAGTGACTTACCTGGGTATGGAATATTGTCTGGGTGGAGCACACATGGTAAATTAGCTTGTCCCTATTGCATAGAAAATTCGAAGGCCTTTTGGTTGGAACACGGTTGAAAGACATAATTTGTTGATTGTCACCAACAATTTTTGCCACCAGATCATCCATTTAGGAGGAACAAGAATGACTTCATGAAGGGCTGTACAGAGAATGGAACCATGCCAGAGAGATTGTCTGGTGATGAGATGCGTAGTCGCATCCATTGGTTGCTTGATATACTATTTGGTAAGCCACCTCAAAAACAAAGAATCCACGAATTTGGTGAAGTGCACAATTAGGTTAAAGAGAGCATCTTTTGCGAATTACCATATAGGCACACAAACTTGATTCGACACAATTTAGATGTCATGCACTGTGAGAAAAACTTTTTTGACAATATCCTTCATATAGTAATGGATGACCCTATGACAAAAGATAACATAAATGCAAGACTTGATCTGGAATTGCATTGTAAAAAGGAAAGTCTGCACATACTGAAAACATGAGTGAATTCGGGTAAAAAACCAAAGGCCACTTATGTTCTTAGTAGGTATCAAAGAAAATCAATATGTCAATGGCTAAAGGAACTAAAATTCCCTGATGGATTTGCCTCCAATATATCTTGGTGTGTCAATATGCAAAAGGCACGATTATTTGATATGAAAAGTCATGACTGTCACATTTTCATGCAAAGCCTTAAATCAATTGCATTTCGTGATTTATTACTGAAACAAGTTTGGGAGCCACTTGTTGAGATTAGTGAGTTTTTTAGGGCCTTGTGTGCTCTGGTGATTCAAGTCAATGACATGGAAATATGGTAAGAAAGGATAATAGAAATTATTTGTAAGCTAAAGCGAATCTTTCCACCTTCGTTCTTTGACAATATGGAGCATCTTGCAATCCACCTTCCATATGAGGCTCGTGTAGGAGGACCGTGTTGGAGGACCGATGCAATTTCAATGGATGTATCCATTTGAGAGGTAAATATAATTAATGTATAATGTATGAAAATAAATATAACTTCATATATGATATTTTGTTGCATTGAGGTTAGAATACCATTTTGAAACTTTTTTAAATTTTGAGGGTATATTTGATATAAACTTAGAAGTTGACGTACCAAATTAGTATTTTAACCATAACTTAATTATATAATAATTCTTGGTGAATCAGGCACATGCATTGTCTTAAGTTGACGGTGAAAAACAAAGCACGTCCCGAGGCATCCATTTATGAAAGTTACATAATGTCTGAGTGTCACGCCCTAAAACCAGGAGCGAAACAGACGTCGTGCACTCGTGAATGGATCCCACAAATGCACAAGGTTCGGAACTTATTGTGTTCATATTACCAATTTACATAACTTAAATTAGAAAGCTCGGTTAATATTTAGCTTTCAATTACCAAAAATTTGCTAGTCCAGATGTGCAAAAGTTTATAAAATAGTCATGGCTATAACCAAGGAAAATCAGTATACAAAAAAATTAATTTATTAGTTCACATCTGTGTCAAACATATGTGGCTAACGGCCTAAGTCCAAAAAGATCTAAGTCCAAAATATTGACTAGCCATTTAGCTCGTCACTCCCCCTGGTTAACCGTGCCTCGGGTCTTACTACCTGAAATGGTGGACAAGGAAAACTATGAGATAAAATATCTCAGTAAGTAAAAATATATGGATAGCCCGCAAGTAAAATTTTAAGCATGCCTGATAACCAGTTTAACATAACAAAACGTTCAATGATAAACAGTTAATGCAGAATAAGCTTCGATAGTAGTCTCATCTATAAGTCATGGCCAACGTTTATAAACCTTCCACTAGCGGGCATAGTAGTAACCAATGTTTTATCCCATTGACAGGATTTCAGTAACAACCAATGTATTATCCCATTGGCAGAATTTCAGTATGAACTGGTCCTATCGGTAAACATGTTGACATGTGCTAGTGTTTATAAACCTCCCACTAACGGGCACAGTAAAACATGACCATATCAGAGACAAAACCACGCAGGATTTCTAGAAAAATTTGAAATTCACAATCAGCCTCAAATTTCAAGAATAATCGGAATAATTCCATGTGGGCATGGATTTAACAGGCAAATCAGAATTTACAAAAATTCTCAAATCATCAGGGCAGTTAAGCAAATTCCAAGTAGGCATGCTCTTACTCAATGAAAATGAAAATAATTCCATTTCAAACCAATCATGCTCAATGCTAATAAAATCAATTTAAACTTGCCATCATCTCAAAAACAATTTAAAATATGCTTTTACTTTGAAATCAAATGACATTACCATAATTTACTTACCTCAATCACATAACACAGAAAATTCACTCCAAATGCTAGGATGACAGAACAATCAAGAACCTAATCAAAATATTCCAAAATTAATAACCATATGACCAGACATCTCAATTTTATTATCAATATAAACTAAACATTTAAACCCTTTTATTGTTGGCCATTAGTGTGCGAACAGTATCGTGAACAGTACCATGAACAGTAACTATTCAATGAACAGTAACTACAACTTCCAGAAATTGGCAAAACAATAGCTAATTTCACGGGATTTTTCTCCAGAACCTCACAGCAGCTAATTAACACTGAATCACATAAATTCTACTTGAATTAATGCTTAAATTTTGTTCTAATTTTACCGGAATTCATCCCCCTATTTTGCAAAAATTCGGACAGCACAGGGCAACAATTTAACGGACAATTTTCAGCAACTAATGGGTAATTTGGGACTTCGATTAAGCTATCACATACCAGAATTCAGCAAGCAAGTCCGGAGTTGGCGAGTTTGGGGGAAGGCCGGCAAGAAGTGCAGGGGGAAATTCGGGAAATCTACCGAAAATTGGAGAAACCAAGAGAAATCAGAGTTAACCCAAGCCAATTCAAGGAAGAACAGAGGAATTAATGGCTGTTTCTTACCAAAAATCAGAGAAATTCGCACCCACAAAGCAAGAGCAGCAGACGGAAGGAACAAAGCAAAGCAGATCCGAAAATTCTGTAGAGGGGGGAAGATTTCCAAGCTTTAAATCTTGTTCTTGGATAAGAAAAGAAGGATAAATCAAGTTCCTTACCGGTTTTCCAAGTGGGGTGTGCAGTCGGTGCAGGGAGAAAAAGAATGAGCAGAATCGAGTGGCTGAGGAAGAAGAAAGAAGGAAAAAAATATCAGCCATCCTTATCCAAATTTCTTTCCTCTTTTAAGTCCCTCAAAATTTGAAAATTTTGTGATTAGACTCAACAATATTATTTTCTCACAATTAGGTCCCTAGCTCACACTTAATTGTTCTAGGAATTTTTGGGGTATTACACTAAGATCACAAATTTTATCTCTCATTACTCTGATGATGAAGTACATAGTACAGTTGATAATCCCCCTAGGAATATTGCTGTTGGATTTGATGATAATAGTGACCTATCTATCTTTAAACGTGTTGGAAAATGTATTGGATCCAAAATTGGAAAACGTTGCTTGATGGTAGAGGAACGCAAAGCTGCTTCATATTATCTGTTAATGAATTGCGAAGAATTGTGAGGATGGGTCAAGTAAAAAACCTATACTAATATCTTTAATTTGTTATATTAAGATTTATTGAAATTAAAATACTAACAATATATGAAAAACTATTATCATATTTTATACTTTATTTAAGAGAGAACAATGTCAAAATATGAATCCTCAACAAATTCAAACAAAATGAGAGAGAGGCTTTATGCCCTGGTTTGAACAAGCTATGAATATGTAATATTATGACTATTCAATTCCTTAACATATATATGTTATTTCTCTTCAAATGCATCTAACATTTTCTTCTCCAATCTATATATTTTAGGTAATTAGTGGTGAGTTCATTAATGTCCATGAGCATATCAAAGGTTTATCCAACGGTCCAAAAAATTATGTTTCTTGTTATAATGGATATATTATTAATGGATTCTGATTTCACACTGCCCTCTATGGTAGAAATGTAATACTCGAAAATTTCCTAGAACATTAAAGTGTGAGTTAGGGACCTAATTGTGAAGAAATATCATTAATGAATGTAATAGCAAAACGTTTCAAAGTTGAGGGACTTAAAAGAAAGGAAATTAGGATAAGGATCAGCTGCCTTTTTTCTTATTTCTTTTTCTTTCTTTCTTTTCTTCCTCATCAGACGCGCAGCCTGCTCTTCTTCTCCTGCTCCTCGACCAGCACCCCTTAAGCCACCGACTTCCTCTTCCTTTGAAAATCGGTAAAAAGGCTTGAAATTCTCCTTCTTTCTTGTTCAATCACAAGATTTGGGGCTTAGAATTCTCTCTCTCAACCCAGAAATTTTCGGATTTGCGCTGCTCTTCCCCCCCTGTCCACCGGTGCTGCTAGACACGAAATTCTTGGCTTTTTCGGGTAAGCCACAGCCATCAACTTCATCTTTTGAGCTTGATTTAGGCTGGGTTTACTTTAATTGCTTTTATTTCCTTTCAATTTCGGGTAGCCCGTGAGTCCCCTACAGAATTTGCCGCCGGCTTCTTCCCTCCGCCAGGTCCGGTTCTGCAGTTGGCTGGAAATTCTGGTATGTTGACAGCCCCATTAAGTCCGAAATTACCCATTTAATTGTTGGGTTTTGTCCATTAAGTGCTGCCCTGTGCTTGCCCGAATTTTGCTAAAATAGGGGAGGAATTCCGGTAGCATTTAGCAGCATTTTAAATGTGTTTTTGTGCTTGGTTTATGTTAGAATTTTGTTAATTAGGCTGTTGTGATGTTTTGGAGAGAAAATCCCGTGTGTGTGAGTTGTGGTTTGCCAATGCCATGCTCTCCATGTGTGCTGCCCGTGAGAAATGGGGAAATTTTGGTAGCTTAAGCTATGTTTTTAAGCTTGGTTTAAGTGTAAATTAGCTTGAATTGGGTTGTTGTGATTTTGGAGAAAAATCCCGTGAGATTAGTTATTGTTTTGCCAAATTTTGGAAGATAAGTTACTGTTCACGGGCACTGTTCACGCACTGATAGCCAACAATTAACGGGGATTTAAATGTTTAGTTTGTAATATAAGAACAAATTTGGAGATGTCCGGTCATGTAAAGACTGATAGAAATAGCACCGTGATTAGGGGTAGTGCTAATGATAATTTCACTTTGAAATTGTGGTAGTGTGGTATTAACTTTGGAATATTGTGATTAGGTTTGATTGTTCTGTCACCGTAGCACTTGGGTTAAGCTTTCTGTTCTGTGCGAGTAAGGTAAGTAAATTATGGTAAAGTCCTTCGATTTTAAAGCATGTTTTAAATTGTTTTTGAGATGGTGGCAAGGTTTAAATTGATTTTATTAGCATCTGAGGGTGATTAATTGAAATGAAAATTGTGATGATTTTTATGAAATTTATTATTTTCTGGAATTGAGCATGATTGGAATGAAAATGAGAATTTCATTGTTTTTTTAGAGTTGAGCATGCCCACATGAAATTTTTTGATTTATTCTTGAAATTGAGATTAATGGTGAATTATGGATTTTCTGTAAATTCTGCATGGTTTTGTCTTTGATATAGTCATGATTACTGATGTCCGCCAGTGGGAGTTTGTAAACGTTGGCATATGTCGACATGTTTACTGATATAACCGGTCCATTCTGTAATCCTGCCAATGGGATAATACATTGGTAATTACTGACGCCTGCCAGTGGGAGTTTGTTAAACACTGGTACCATTACTGACACATGCCAGTGGAAGTTTGTTAAACACTGGTACTTCTGTAACGCTGCCAATGGGGGTTAAACATTGGTTATTACTGACGCCTGCCAGTGGGAGTTTGCTAAACACTGGCCATGACTTATAGATGAGACTACTGATGAATTTTACTGTGCATGAATGGTTTATCATTGAACGCTTTGCTATTAAACTGAATTTGATTATGCATTAACGGTTTATCATTGAATGTTTTGTTATGTTAAATTGTTTATCAGGCATGCTAAAATTTTACCCGAGGGCTATCTATATTTACTTACTGAGTTATCTCATAGTTTTCCTTGTCCACCATTTCAGGAAACGAAACCGAGGACGGGGAAACCAAGGGGAGTGACGAGGTAGAAGGCTAGCCATTCTAATTGGATATGAAATTTTAGATTTTATCATCCTTTTGTAAGGTAGATTTTATTCTTGAGATTTTGTAATTTGAGTAAGTTTCGAGCCTTGTGCACTTGTGGGACCCGTCTCACGAGTGCACGGCGTCTGCCACGTCCCCGAATTTGGGTTTTGGGCCGTGATAGATTAAGTGGTATCGGAGCTTAGGTTTAATTAAGATTTTGTGATGTCAGAGCCTAGGTTAATTAAATACCTAGGATCTATTTTGAACTTGGCTAGCCAATGGATTTTAGAACCATGATGAGACGAGTGATGGGGTTATACAAGGGATGATTCTGATTTACATTGCTTGAATTTTCTGATTCACTTTGATGAGATAGCAATTCAGTTAGCACCTGTTATCTACCGATAGTGAGAAGTTTTGAAATTAATCTTGCTCACTATACACTTAGGAACTTGTTTGGAACTTGGTCCCTTGTGATAGTATGCTTGATTTTGGTTGTGCCAGGATGTATAAGGCCATCCACATTAGGTCTGTTTGTTTAAGTATTCATATGGGCATTCATACATGAATGCAAACATAGACATACATGAGCATATACACGCATACATGCATGCACACATAGGCATTCATACATGCATGCATAAAGGCATTCATTCATACATGCATATACATGCATTCATCCATTCATGATTCTATATATCCGAGTGATGTTTATCCATCTCAGATAGGGTTCCATCGTTTAGTTGGATACGTCATTAAACTCCTTGCCATGTTGTGTTTGATGAGTGCCGGGTCTTGATTTGAGTCAAAGGCACCACATAATCACACCAATAACCCTCGAGTTTAGTTACTTGTGTTGAGGCGTGAAGTTATCTCCTGCTTCCCAAATGGCCACTGGGAAGGGTGGAGATTGAGAATTGTTGTTGGTTGTTAAAGTAGTGCTGAGTACCCAGTCCCTGTAAAGTGAATTTGACTATGGTACCTGTGTAATTGTTAGCCATGTATTTTGAGATTGATTTCCTTGTTATTGTTGTGGTTGATATCAGAGTGGCACAACGGAAATGTAGTAGGCCATGTTCTGATCATAGAAAGTCGGTGAGGCATTTGTTTTGTCTTGGATTGTGTGAAACCATTCACCAGTCTAGATGATCCTAGATTTGAGTTTTGGGGACAAAACTCCTTTTTAAGAGGGGTGGATGTAATACCCCAAAATTTCCTAGAACATTAAAGTGTGAGTTAGGGACCTAATTGTGAAAAAATATCATTAATGAATGTAATAGCAAAAATTTTCAAAGTTGAGGGACTTAAAAGGAAGGAAATTAGCATAAGGATCAGCTGCCTTTTTTCTTTTTCCTTTTTCTTTGTTTCTTTTCTTCCTCATCAGACGCGCGGCCTGCTCTTCTTCTTCTGCTCCCCGACCAGCCCCCCCTAAGCGACCGACTTCCTCTTCCTTTGAAAACCGGTAAAAAGGCTTGAAATTCTCCTTCTTTCTTGTTCAATCACAAGATTTGGGGCTTAGAATTCTCTCTCTCAACCCAGAAATTTTCGAATCTGCACTGCTCTTCCTCCCTTGTCCACCGATGCTGCTAGGCACGAAATTCTTGGCTTTTTTGGGTAAGCCACAGCCATGAACTTCATCTTTTTAGCTTGATTTAGGCTGGGTTTACTTTAATTGCTTTTATTTCCATCCAATTTTCGGTAGCCTGTGAGTACCCTGCAGAATTTGCCGCCGGCTTCTTCCCTCCGCCAGGTCCGGTTCTGCAGTTGGCTGGAAATTCTGGTATGTTGACAGCCCCATTAAGTCTGAAATTACCCATTTAATTGTTGGGTTTTGTCCATTAAGTGCTGCCCTGTGCTTGCCCGAATTTTGCTAAAATGGGGGAGGAATTCCGGTAGCATTTAGTAGCATTTTAAATGTGTTTTTGTGCTTGGTTTATGTAGGAATTTTGTTAATTAGGCTATTGTGATGTTTTGGAGAGAAAATCCTGTGTGTGTGAGTTGTGGTTTGCCAAAGCCATGCTCTCCATGTGTTGCCCGTGAGAAATGGGGAAATTTTGGTAGCTTAAGCTATGTTTTTAAGGCTTGGTTTAAGTGTAAATTAGCTTGAATTGGGTTGTTGTGATTTTGGAGAAAAATCCCGTGAGATTAGTTTTTGTTTTGCTGTTTAAGTACCATTTTGGTCCCTAACTTTTTATTTTGGTATTAAAATTGTCTCTCAAGTTTAAAAATTACTAAAATTATCTTCAGATTTTCATTTTCGGTACTAAAATGATCCTTTTGTCAGTTAAATGACAGGTGGCACCTTAAGATGCCAGCAAATCAATTTTTTTTAGTTAACTAATGGCATGGAAAAAAAACAAAATATAATTGGTCATCTTTTGTATGAGTTGGTATTTTTATTTAATTTAAAAATAATGATTTTTTTTTCATCCATTATCATTTCTTCTTTCTCTTTCGCTTTCTTTCTCCTTTACCTTTCCTTTTCCCTTACCTCTGCAAACCTAGATCCACTTTATCTTCTTCCTCCTTTCCTCCTCTATGCTCACCCTTCTTTCTTCTTCTTATTCTTTCTCTCTCTCTCCCTGCTTCTCTCAAACCCAGATCTGGGTTTGAGAAAAACCCAAATCGTGGCTTAAGAAAAACCCAGATCGTGGCTTGAGACAAACCCATATCTGGGTTTGTCTCAAGCCCATCCTTTGGCCCTCAAATCCCCCCTCAATCACCTTCCTTAACCAACCTTCCTTTCCCTCCTCATCCTTCTTCTTTCTTATTCTTTCTCTCTCTCTTCTCATTTATTCTTCCTCTCCAAATCAAAATCTAGATTTGGGTTTTTCTGAAACCCCGATCTTGGTTTGTTTTAAAAAAATTAATCAAGAAAAAAATCCAGTTTCCTTAAGGTTAAGGAACCCAGAAATTGCACTGTGCTTGAAAGGATCTATGCCGCAGTACAGAGCAAGAAGCAGGAACAACACACCCAAAACTCCCATCGGAGTCAATGGGGTATGTCTTTATTTCGGATTCAAGAAGTAAGTATGGAGCATCGTAGATTACTCTTGCGCCAGTGGTAGATAGAGTGCAAGGACACTTAGCTAATTACATTGGGTTGATTTGCGGTTGGGACCAAAGACAAATGTTAATTTTTTATTTTACTAACACTTTTTTTTTCTTGATTAATTTGTTTGTTTTTTTTTTCTCGATTAATGAAAAAGAAGATAAGTTTGAAAAATTATAAAATAAAAAAAATATTAAATTTTCTTACATGGAATTTACACGTCATTAAAATTAAAAAAATCCAATGATTTGTTAGCAAGTTAAAGTGCCACCTGTCATTTAAGTGACGGAAGGACCATTTTGGTATCGAAAATAAAAGTTTAAGGATAATTTTGATACTTTTTAAAGCTGAGGGACAATTTTGGTACTAAAGTGAAAAGTTGAGAGACCAAAATGGCACTTAAACCTTGTTTTGCCAATTTTTGGAAGATAAGTTACTGTTCATGATCACTGTTCATGATCACTGTTCACACACTGATAGCCAACAATTAACGAGGATTTAAATGTTTAGTTTGTAATATAAGAATAAATTTGGAGATGTCCGGTCATGTGGAGACTGATAAAATAGCACCATGATTAGGGGTAGTGCTAATGGTGATTTCACTTTGAAATTGTGGCAGTGCGGTATTAACTTTGGAATATTGTGATTAGGTTTGATCGTTCTGTCACCGTAGCACGTGGGTTAAGCCTTCTATTCTGTGCGAGTAAGGTAAGTAAATTATGGTAAAACCCTTCGATTTTAAAGCATGTTTTAAATTGTTTTTGAGATGTTGGCAAAGTTTAAATTGATTTTAGCAGCATCTGAGTATGATTAACTGAAATGAAAATTGTGATGATTTTTATGAAAATTATTATTTTCTGGAATTGAGCATGATTGGAATGAAAATGAGAATTTCATTGTTTTTTTGGAGTTGAGCATGCCCACATGAAATTTTTCGGTTTATTCTTGAAATTGAGATTAATGGTGAATTATGGATTTTTTGTAAATTCTGCATGATTTTGTCTCTGATATAGTCATGATTACTGACGCCCGCCAGTGGGAGTTTGTAAATGCTGGCACATGTCGACATGTTTACTGATATGACCGATCCATTCTGTAATCCTGCCAATGGGATAATACATTGGTAATTACTAACGCCTGCTAGTGGGAGTTTGTTAAACACTGGTACTTCTGTAACCCTGCCAATGGGGGTTAAACATTGGTTATTATTGATGCTTGCCAGTGGAAGTTTGTTAAACATTAGCCATGACTTATAGATGAGACTACTGATGAATTTTACTGTGCATGAATGGTTTATCATTGAACGCTTTGCTATTGAACTGAATTTGATTCTGCATTAACGGTTTATCATTGAACGTTTTGTTATGTTAAACTGTTTATCAAGCATACTAAAATTTTACCCAAGGGCTATCCATATTTACTTACTAAGTTACCTCATAGTTTTCCTTGTCCACCATTTCAGGAAGCGAAACCGAGGACGGGGAAACCAAGGGGAATGATGAGGTAGAAGGCTAGCCATTCTAATTGGATATGAAATTTTAGATTTTATCATCCTTTTGTAAGGTAGATTTTATTCTTGAGATTTTGTGATTTGAGTAAGTTTCGAGCCTTGTGCACTTGTGGGACCCGTCTCACGAGTACATCGCGTATGCTACGTCCCCAGATTTGGGTTTTGGGGCGTGACAAGAAATAAGCGAACAATGAATTATAGTGTCTGTGTTGTCAGATCTATTGGTACTAAATCAAATTATGATTTTTATGGTGTACTTCAAGAAATAATTCAGATTGAGTACTATGGATCGATCCATCGACAAGCAATTGTTTTATTCAAATGTGATTGGTACGAGATTCCTCCTGCTCTGTCATGCCCCATAACCCAAATCCAGGGACATGACAGATGTTGTACATTTGTGAGAGGGTCCCACAAATGCACAAGGGTCAGAACTTACTGAGTTCTTAATTTTCAATTTGGATAATTTAAATCTAAAAACTCAGGTAAAATCTAACTTTCCATTACCAAAAATTTATTAGTTAAGATGTACAACAGTTTATAAGATAGTTATGGCTATAACCAAGGAAACTCTGTACACAAATATGGTTATTTAGGTTAACCATGTGAGACTAGCGGCCTAACTCCAAAAGATCTAAGTCCAAAATAATGCCTAGCTATCTAGTTCGTCGCTCCCCCGACTCCCCATGTGTCTGATATCACTACCTGAAGTGGTGGACAAGGAAAAACTAGGTGAGATAAAATATCTCAATAAGTAAAAATATGGATAGCCCATGAATAAAATTTTAGCATGCTTGATAAACAGTTTAACATAACAAAACGTTCAATAATAAACCATTAATGCAGAAGAAAATTTAGTAGTAGTCTCATCTATAAGTCATGGTCAGTGTTTAACAACTCCCACTGGTAGGCGTCAGTAATAACCAGTGTTTAACAACTCCCATTGGTAAGCATCAATAATAACCAGTGTTTAACAAACTCCCATTGGCAGGCGTCAGTAATTACCAATGTATTCGCCCATTGGCAAGTGTCAGTAATTACCAATGTATTATCCCATTGGCAAGATTACAGAATGAACCGGTCATATCAGTAAACATGTTGACATGTGCTAGCGTTTGCAAACTCCCACTAGCGGGCGTCAGTAATCATGACTATATCAGAGACAAAACCATGCAGGATTTATAGGAAAAATTCGTAATTCACAATCAATCTCAAATTTCAGAATAAAGCAGAAAATTCCATGTGCGCATGGATTTAACAGAAAAATCAAAATTTACAAAATTCTCAGATCATCAAGGCAGTTAAGCAAATTCCAAGTAGGCATGCTCTACTCAATGCAAATGAAAACAATTTCATTTCAAACCAATCATGCTTGGTGCTAATAAAATTAATTTAAACCTTGCCACCATCTCAAAAACAATTTAAAACACGCTTTGAAATCGAAAGGCATTATCATAATTTACTTACCTCAAATCACGTAATACCGGAAACTCGAGCCAAGTGCTCGGGTGACAGAACACTTAAGAACCTAATCAAAATTCTCCAAAATTAATATCATACTACCACAAATTCAAATTCAAAGTGAAAACATCATTAAGATCACCCCCTAATCAAGATGCTATTTATATTAACCTCCACATGACCGGACACCTCTAATTTCATTCTTATTTTAAAAACTAATTATTTAATCCTATTCCATGATTGTCGACCATTAATCCCAATAGGCAAATTTTATTTCTTTATTCTTCTTATATCCGAAATTTGAGCACACAACATCAAATTGTATATTTATATATATGTATATACATAATTACACATATACAACATTTCCCAAATTCATGGACAAAACATGGAGGAACCGACTTTGGCAAAAATTGGCTAAGTCATGGGATTTTTCCATATAAACATCACAGCAGCTTAATCAAGAATTTTCTACATGAATTAAACTAAAAACACAACTTGAAGTGCTACAATTTCTTCTATATTTCGGCAGAAATTGAACAATACAGGGGCAGCAATTACATGGATAGTTTTAGCAATTAAATGGGTAAAAGTTGAATTCAAGGGGTTGCCACATACCCAAAATCTTCCGGCAAGTAGCACCAGGTCCGGCTGGGAAGGAAGCCGACGGGGAAAAGAAATGGAGGAACTCATAGCAACTACCAAATTCAAGAACCCACAACAAAATAAGAGTAACCCAAGCCAAAGTAAGGGAGAAAAGATGAATTCCATGGTTGTTGCTTACCCAAAAATTAAGAAATTCACACCCACACCAAGTTGAAATCGACGGCAGGGGAGGAGGAAGGCAACTAGATCTGGGATTTTTCTTGCTTTATGAGGCTTTTAGGTCCTAATTCTTGTTCTTGGACAAGAAAGCAAGGGAAAAACTTAAGCTTTTTGCCAATTTTCCTCAAGAGAGGGCGGTCG